TTGCCAACCTCTATGTAAAAATTTTGCTGTTTCTGAAACCAGAAACTAAAACAACTTTGTGGTTTCAACCAAAACTGACAACTGAATAAATAACAAAAAGACAGTGAGATTAACTACAAAGAGTTGGTAACCCTTTTGTCAATCTCTATATTTAAATTGTACTATTTCATGAAATCAAATCTGAGACTTGGCATGATTCTAAAATTCCCTCCAGCTCCAGACTGTCTTTTGATTCCCTTGTCCGGTTGACATCGTGGGGCCAGTGCAAAGGTGGTCCTCAGAGACCCAACCAACAAGCTTCTGTTCTTCCAGTCCACATCTTCCCTGGAAACTGTACCTTTCTTTTCTTTTCAGCCAAAGGTGAAGTTCTAATATGAGGTACAACTGATCCCCATTAAAGGCCCACGCAACCATGTCAGGGAAGGCAGCACAGGGGAAGGAAAAACTCAGATTTAGAGTTAGGCAGCCCTGGGCTCAAATATTGGCCCTGCTGGTCACCAGCTGTGAGACCTGAGCTTTAGTGTCTTTATCTGTAAAACAGGGATAAGATCGAAACTTACCTCACGAGATTGTTATAAAGGAGAAATGGGATGCACACGAAGTCTTAACAGATCATGTGGGATATACTAAGTGCTTAATAAATGCATGTCTGACTATCTGTGTGGTGACTGTATATAAACAAACACGTAGGCCCTATACCACATCTGCCTTTGTGAATTGGGAGCTCTGAAGAGAGACATGGGTGCTTAGAGTTGCTTATGAGAAATCACAAGTGTTCGCTATATCATTAAAAAATGAATCAAGAGGAAATCCATTGCTTCAGTATAATACAATGTCCCAATGAGATGCTGGACATAGTTCCCAGACTTTCCCTCTATTAACTCATCTGATCCTCACAATGACTTTGAGGCAGATACTGTACTGTTATTATTCCTGTTTCATAGATGAGGCACAGAGAGGTTAAGTAACTTGCCCAGTGCCACACAGTCAATAAGGGGTAGAGCCAGAAATCAAATCCAAGTCTGTAGCCACAGAGTCTATGCTTCTGGGGAAGAAAAAAAAGCCCAGGTCAGCCTCAAGTGCAATTTTGGGCATGTCTAGAGCTGTATGTTAATACAGCAGCCACTAGCTATGCATGGATATTTAAATTTAATTAAAATGAAGTGAAATTAAAAAGTTCCTTGGTCACACCAGTCATATTTAAAGTGCTCAAACAGCTATCTGCGGATGATGGCTGCCGTACTGGGCCACACAGACCCAGGCTAGTTCCATCATCACAAAGTTTTATCAGACATCGTTGTTCTAGATAATTCTAGAAAGTATCAGCTAAACATAAGACACAAACTCAGCAGGTATGTTGCAGTTTTTTTTTTTAATTAAATACAACTTCATAATGTTATTTGCACCTAGCACACACACGTTTTTCAAAAAATAAGACATGCCACACGAGTCGTGAAGTTAACAAAATATAAGCAACCACATAGAATGTAATCTAAGGTGACTTCATATACACAGCTCCGCAGAGAAACACAGAGGTAACGTATTTTGCCTATCAGCCAGTGTGGGACCAGATCTGGAATTCACAAGGCTGCAGGGCAGGTTCCCTAATGCTCCCCCGATGGACGTCCTGTATCCACACGCGGACATCAAGCTGTCCGGTTTCACCAGAAAAGCAATAGAGACCTCAGCCCTCCCTCTTCTACCCAGCATTCAACTCCATGCTGCAAAAACCCTTGATGAACCTGAGGCTTGATATGATGGCAGCTCAAGTTTAAACCCAAGTTTGGTGAGCTTGCTTCAGGCGCCGCACCTGGCAGCTAGGAAGATGGAGATGCAGGTGTGATATTTAATGTTGCTTCCCAAGAGAGCCTTGGGATGTCACAGCCACGATGAATACACAGAACTGATGTTCTTCTCCATCCTAACAGTGCCGTTTATTGCCACCAGCAAACAGTTCATTTACACTTAGGGACAAAGACTGGGAGAAGTTAGCTCAGGACAGATTCAGAACTTTGGTGACGATGGCTCCACACCAGCTGTTCTTCCCACTGCTCAAGTGACCTCCCCCTGACTTCCACTCAGAACCTCTCATGGCTCAGCTATGTGGAATGATGCCATCACCCCCAAACTGAAGGTAGGGGGAGCCACTCAGGCCCCAGCAGCAGTTCCTGGGTGGTGTCCCCATGATCTGTAGCAGATCTGAAATGACAGTGCACTTTTATCTACTCATCTCAAGAAAGCTGGCTGGCCCTGGGTTAAAAGGCCCGTAACAAAGAGGGAAAGAGGGGCAGAGTGAGTTTGGGAGCACACAGGCTGGAATTGTTACTGATCACCTAGGTCTGACAACTTAAATAGCCTTCCTGTTCCCCTTTATTCATTCTGCCCTTGCCCTCAGCCTTAGAAAAATCACTTGGGAAAAGAAGAATACTTGAAAAGCAGTGAAACCTGATTTTATTTCCCCCTTTGTGTTGTGTTCTTGCAGGCTCAGAGCTTGACCTTGAAAAGTGACTTACTACTACTTCTGATTCCTCCTCTACACTGAACAAGTCCTCTTTCTCACCAGTGCTGATCCTGCATTCTCTTCCTCATGAACTATCAATGGCTCC